GTCTCAGCATCTATGCTGTCTACATGCATCAAGTGTTCATTTCTCTTTATTACGGAGTAGTAGCCCATGTATGATATACCGCGATTTATTTATTCTTTTACCCATTGATGGTCATTTGGTTTGTTTCCAGCCTTTGACTCTTTCAAATAAAGCTGCTATGAACATTTGTGTGCAAGTGTCCATCAGGACATATGGCATGTATGTATGTATGTATGTATGTATGTATGTATGTATGCATGCATGCATTGGGGGTGGGGTTAGGTTTATTTATGTTTAGAGGCAGTACTGGGATTGAACCCAGGACCTCATGCATACTAAGCATGCACTCTACCACTTGAGCTATACCCTCCCCCAATCAGGACATATACTTCCATCTCTCCTGGGCGAATAAAGTTACATCTAATTTTAATGGGGACATTTTCCTTTTACGTCACTGTACTTATTTTCCTTTGCTTCTATTCCTTCTCTAACACTTTATCTTGTGTGTATATTTGTAAACTACTTTAATCCTTTTGGAAGAAAGTAAAGTCAAGATAGAAACAGCTAAATGGGAGAGAGGGTATAGCTTAGTGGTAGAGTGTATGCTTAGCATGCATGAGGTCCTGGGTGCAACCCATTAAAAAAATTAATAATAAATAAATAATTTTTAAAAAAAATAATAAATAAATAAGCAAACATAATTACCTCCCTTCACCCCCCCCAAAAAAAAAAGATTAAAAAAAAAAACAGCTAAATAAATGTCCTTGACCACCTACTGTATCTTCTCTACATTTTCCTGTTTCCCTTCACGACTAAATCAAGTCTGCCCTTTTAGCACGTAAGATTCTTTTGGATTTTAAGTATTTAGGAGTAATGGTAATAATAATGATAATAATGTTTATCAGCATAACATATTGGTAATAATTTTTTTAAAACTTATCATGCCAGTTATTATAAGCACAACATCTGCATTAGGTAATTTAATTTATACAGCATCCCAATGACAATAATTAATTTTATCTTTCTTGTTTTGCATACAGAAACCCACATATCTAGAGGCTAAGGGATATCGAAGGTCTCAAAGAGACAGTGAGCGGCAGAGCTGGCTTCAGGGACGAGATCTTTTTCATATGAGAACAGATGATTTTATTTACCATGATTTTATTTACTTTATTTATTTATCCTTTGCTAAGAGGTTGGTGTCATCCTGGAAGAGATGAACAGTAAGATGTAAATCTTCCATGTCTAAAGGTAGAACAGTGTCTAAAGGGAGATGGATGGGTTAATGAAAATTTCTCCTTACACACATCAATTTGTAAAGAACAGATTTTTTTTTTTAAAGATTTTAAAAATCATTAGGAACAACCTAAACCCTCGGGAGGAAGGACCATACCTCAGTGTCATGTGCCTGCTCTGTCTTACCTGCCTGGGTGGGATAGATGATGAAATAATCACTGAAGGTAGGCAGCCGCCTCTTCTCTGATCCGTTGTCAGAGTCCATGGGTTCATCATCCGTTTCAACACCATTGTCTCTTCTCTCTGTTGTTTGAGGAATTAAAATACAAACTACAATCATACACCATTGACACCGACACCAGTAACCTTTAATGAAAGTCACAACAAGCTTGTATCTCCATCAGAGAGAGAAATAGCCACCAACGTTACATAGTTCAGATGTCAGTCCCACCAGCGACCTGGAATCACATAAATGGTGGGACATCCCCTGGAAACTGCCCGCCTCCCTCTCAGAATGTGAGGCTCCCTGACCTACCTTCATGAGGTCGATGACTTGGACTCTCCCTCAGCCTGAGTTAACGAGTCTATCCCAGGTAAGTTCCCCTCCATCCCCTCCTCCCAGCTCAAAGTCCCTCCTGTGCGCCACAACTAAAGTTACATGAGCTGAGGGTCCTCTAATGTAAAATAAATAATATTTTAAACTTAATTTTCTTTCCTCAACCATCGATAGAGAGAATTTCCTAGACCCAGGACTACCACAGAGAAGTCTCCACTTACCTCCTCTGCAGGCCTGGATTATAAAGATTTTTGGTTTCTCTTGAAGTGCTGGACAATTTTTATTGTTAAACATTTCAAAAATGCCTTCCAAGCTGACTTTTCCACCATCTTTCATTCTAATAAAGCCTTCTTCTCCGTGGGACATAAGAGTAACAAGGCAACAGCCAATGTCATCTTTAATTTCATTTAGCCCATCACGGAATGAGGTTATTTTTTCAAGTAATTCCTGTAAAATAGGATAACATATTAAAAAGAACTGGAGGTAGGAAAAAAATCAGAAGTGCCAGAGATGGTCCCTTTACAAGGTGATCCAAAGAGATGACAAATTTGAAAATATCTACTTCTCCAACAGAGTCAGTATGAGTTGTCATTTTCCTTTTGATTGTTTTCAGAATTCATATGATTTCTTCTTCTACCAGTGGTTCTTGTTTGACAAAATGAGGGCATTTCTGATTCTCTACCACAAAATACAACAGGATTATAGCTCCCCAAAAAGTTAATGTACTTAAATTTTATATTAACTTATTTTATAAAATTAATTCCCTCAATAAGCTAGAAATGGAAGGGAATGGAGCCTACCCCGTCACATCCACCTGCCCAAATCTATGAGACGTCCTTAAAATCATCCCACTAAAGAGACACGAATTGACTGCTCTCACTAGCCTCATACGTGCTGTAACAAAGACCCCAGCCATTTCAATAAAGTAAAAATGAAATGATTTTAAATATTGAAAACAAAGAACCAAACCTCATGAAGTACAGATAATATGATTATCTAGAAATATAAAATAATCAACTAAAAACTATTAGAACTAGAGGTCAGCAAGTCGATCAGATGCAAGATTAATTGACAAAGATTTATAGCTCCCCAATTACCCAGCAATAATCACTCAAACCACAGAGTGGAAAAAGGATCCACTCACGGTCACAACAAAACTAAAACAATAGTAGGAATAAACCTAACAAGAAATGCAGATTACCTAAATGAAGAAAATTAAAAAAAAAAAACTTTAAGAGGCAACATAAACAAACCAGGAGACACTAGGGGGAGGGTATAGCTCAGTGGTAGAGTGTGTGCCTAGCACACACAAGGTCCTGGGTTCAATCCCCAATGCCTCCATTAAAAATTAATAAATAAACCAAATTATCCCCTCCCAGGGAAACAAACACACAAAACAAAACCAGGGCTGAAGTTAATTTAGTCTATCCCAGATTAAGTTTCCCACCATCCCTTCCTCCCAGCTGATGCTTCGAACTGAGATGACCGAATGCTATCGATCTGCCAATTAACTCCAAATTAATCTCAAGTCAGTGTCATGTCAATCAAAATCTCAAAGGATTTCTGGCAAACTTAACGAGATGGTTCTCAAGGTCACAGAGAACAGATGCTCAAGTAATAGCAGAGGGGGTAGGGAAGGGTTTAGCTCAGTGGCAGAGTGTGTGCCCAGCATGCATTAGGTCCTGGGTTCAATCCCCAGTACCGCTGTTAGATATTATAAATAAATAAACAAACAAACCTGATTACCTCCCGCTACAAAAAAAAAAAAAGAAGAAGAAGAGTAACAGAGAACATTCAGAAGTGAAAAAAATAAAACAACGAAAAATCCAATGAGTGGGGACTAGGTCCTAACCAACATTCAAATATACTGTAAGACCATGGTGAGTAAAACAGCGAAGTATTGGCAACTATAGACAAACACATGAATGGAATATTTTAGAATCCAGAAGTCGATCCAAGTATACATAGGCGTTTAGTTCACGATAAGAGTGGAATTTCACATATGTGGGGAAAGGATGTATCATCAACAGGGAGATGGCTATGCACTTGGAAATAAAGTGAGGACTCCCACCTCACTGTTCCAAAAATAAAATTCCAGTGAGTAGAAGACTAACCTTAAACATAAAATATCACAGAAAAATACTTAAAGACATTTTTAAGTTGGGAAGGCATGGGGTTTAGTCAAAACCCAAAACCCAAGGAGCCAACAAACAGAAAGATGGACAAGTTTAGTCACAAAAACTAAAAGACTTCCATTGACTTCCATTTCAGGACAACAGAAAGTCAAAAAGCAAGTAACAAGGTAGGAGAAAAATATCTGCACTCTACGTTGTCTAAAATCCAGGAACAAGAGCTACAGAATAAGAAAAAGAAAAAGAAAATCCTTTTCTTAGGAAGCAAAGAAAGGACAAAGGATACAAACAAGTAATTTGCAGAAGGAGAAAAAAAAAGTGACAAAAATAAGTTCAACCCAACTAATAATCAGGAAAATGAAACTTAAAACAGTGAAGTATGGCGGGGAGGGTTTAGCTCAGTGGTGGAGCACATGCTTAGTATGCATGAGGTCCGGGGTTCAATCCCCAGTACCTCCGTTTAAAAAATTAAAGTAAATACATAAATAAACCTAATTTTCCCTCAAAACAAAACAAACAAAAGAACAGTGAAATAATTTTGCCAGTAAGATTGCTAAATATTTACAAATAAATGTTGATAGGCTGTACACAAAGAGGTACTTCTGGACCTTTGGGAGAATAAATCAAAACAATACTGACAATATCTATCATCTGAATGGAAAGGACTGGATTAAAAAAAAAATCATGTAATGTGGAAGAGATTCTGGTACAGTCTGTGAGAAACAGGAAGGAGTCTATTTTTAGCTTTGAAATAACAAAATCAAAATTTGCTGAGTCCTTACTATAAGCCAGCTACTATTCTGAGGACTTTATATACATTTCTCCTCACCACAGCCCGACAAGATAAATGACTATCATCACCCCCATTTTAGAGATAAGATCACCCCCATTTTAGAGATAAACAATGAATGAATGTACGGCAGAATTTCTAGAACTTCTGCACTATTGACACGTTGTGTCGGGTGACTGCTGTGGGAGCTGTCCTGCGCGCTGTAGGGTGCTCAGGAGCACCCCCACCTTCTACCCTGGCTCCTACACTGGATACCAATGGCACCCTCCAGTTGTGACAAGCAAAAACGTGTCCAGACATTGTCAAATGTCCTCCAGGGGGACAAAATCACCCTCAGTGGAAACCCAGATTTAAGGTAACAGTTACTAAGAGACAGGATTCCAACCCTGTCAGTGCACCGCTCCTTTCATAGCCCTTCTGCTGGGCAGTCCCTTAATATTCACTGGCAGTGACTCCTGGGATCTATGAAGAACTCTCCTCTGTTATCAACCCCAATTCTGGGCAGGGCCAGGCCAGGACTCAGGTAAGGGTCAGAGAGGTCAAAATGAAGTTCCCACCCACCCACCTACCCATCAACACTCTTCAGCCTCATTTCTTCCTGTGTTAAATCACAACGCAATTGTGCCCAGGGCTCTCAGCAGTCCCTCTCCCCGCCCCTCCCATGGTTCCAAGTGAGTCCCCCTAAGGACCTTTCAAAGCCCCGGGGCTCCAATGCTGCTGGGGTCCCTCTGGCCTGGCTTCCTGCTGACCTCTCACAGCTGCCTCCGAGGTCCTCCTGATCCCAGATGCTCTGGACCTTGCCTACTCTGACTCACAGCTTGTCCTTGGGACTCCTTGCCCATCTTGCTTAAAAGACACCTTCTGGGGTTCCCTCTCCACTAACTGCACAGCCCTAGCCAAGACTGGTACCCAAGAGGTCCCTGCTTGACTAGAAGGGAAACTGGAGTATCACACACTTAAGATGACAAAAGCATCTGTACCCAACAGGTAAAGCTGGGTAAGAATTTCATCAGGACATAATAGGTCCATTGCTCTGCAGGACCTGGTTCTAACCAAATATAAAGGACTGAAAAAAAGGAATAAAAAAAGGAAGGAAGGTTATAATATCCAAGCTACAATTTTTCCTTTTATTTTTTTTTTTAAACTTGTTACCATTTTGTCGGGATTGATGCACAATGTATGTTCGAACTGGCACTGGCCAAGCCAGTCCTCCATCAGTAGGACGTCCTGCTCAGCACCTGGCCTGTTCCTCATTTCACACATCAGGAAGGCCTTCCTCTTGCCACTCAGGTCATAATGGTCCTGTTCCCAAGGAAAGCCAAGAAACAATATTTCAACCAAACCAAACTTGGAAATTCAAATACATCATATATGTGCAAATGAGTTTTTTTCTGGGATGAATGATGAGGTTTCCCAGTGCAGGGCAGGAGCACAATACTGATTTCCACTCTTATCAGTTCTGGAAGGGAGGCATGACTTGATTTATAATTACTTCAAATGCCTTTCTCAAACTAGGACAAAGGGGCCAATCCCATTTTTAAACTCCTATACCTAGCCGCCACTACCTGTTTAAGGAAAATGGTAAATGACAACCCAAGGCTACAATTATCAAAGTCCAGAATGTGGGACATTCTACAGGACAAATAACCTAGGTTCATCAACAAACAAGAAAATAAGTTAAGGGGAGACGTATCGTAAATTAAGAGTCTTACGAGACAAACCATCAAATGTAACTGTGTAGACCTTGTTTCAATCAGACCCTGACTCAAACAATCCAGCTGTAAAGGACAGAGGAACCAGTCAAGGAACTCTGAAGACTAACTGCATCTTTGCCAAGATTAAGGTAGAATAATAGTATTAAGGCTACATTTTGAAAGAAGTGTTTCTCTGAAACATACAAATAATTTATGCAATGAAAGTGAAAGCCAGTAGTTCACGTAGTTGCCGAAGGCCATACAGTCTGCAATGCCTCAGTTTTTCCCTTGATTTGTCAAAAGGAGATGATGACAGTGCTTACCTCATTTGGTTTAATACATGCAAAGTGGTTTTAACTGGCTAAATGTTTTGCTTTTACTATTTATAACAGAAAGCAGGGCGATCTGACCCTTTGAGGCAACCATGCAGGTAATTGCCTTTAACCGAACAGAAGCAGCGCAAAAAATGTTTAAATGGTGACTAAATACTATCTTTGCTGACCAACGCGTAGTGTTAGAGTGAGAGTCAAGATACTTACCAATTCATCCTCCACGCAGTCATAGCTTCTCTTTGGAATCTTTCGTGGAATCCCTGAATGAATTTTCATGAAAAGACAACAAAACAGAAAAAAAGACGATTTTTTTCCCCAGTTTTTCTCTTTTTAATCAAGATCTGCTGTCATTCCGGTTAATAGAAAGCACCTTCCAAGGAATCCCGTTGCCTCTCAGGTTTTGGGATCCATCAGGCTTCAGTCTCATTTTAGGATTTCTAGGATTATGAACACCCTCTCCCAAACTCATGAGGATGGAAACTTAGCAGAACTCCCTGACACCCTAGTCAGGTTCAGGGGCAGGGAGACCCAGGCCAGAGATGAAAAGGCTAAGGACCAATTAACATTACTGCACATGCACTTTCTGAAAAGGAGACCAAGACATCAATAAAGAGAAAAATGATGGTAAAGGAACTAGGCCCTATTTAAGTTTTTGATTAAACAATCTCTTAGCATTCAATTCAAGTATTTATTGAGTGCCTACAGTGTGTAGCCATGATACTGTGTGGTTTGGTTGATTCTGAAAAACCAAACCAAACCAAAAAAAAAAAAAAAAACCACTTTACCAACTGCAGGAGACACTCACTCACAGTCTAAAAGGGGTGGTAACAAAAGTGATACACAAACTAAGCCTGGGGAGACTATGACAAGCGCTGTGCAGGTGCAGTAAAGGCACACTCAGAGGCTTCACGGGGTCACTATTCTGCCTACAGGTCATGTTCTGTGGTCGTTTACAGTTGTCATTCCACTACAAATCCAAAAAAGTCAGCAAAGCAACTACCTCAAAACTCAAGCTGGGAAGAGTTGAGACCAGCAATGGTACATTTTAGTGTCTATCTCAATGCATTCAGTGTAAGTGCAGCTTTCCTCTTTCTCTCTCTCTTCCTCTCTCTCTATACACATACACACACTCACATATTATACACACATAACATTTATTGATTTCGCGGGGGGAAATCGTAAGCCCTCTCCAACTTGTTACATTTCTTGATCCTAAGCCACATCTTCCCAGATTTATGGCAAACGTTCTAATGGCGTGGACATGTGGCAGAAGGGATTCCAACCCTGGGTTTCTCACTGTATCATCTAAAAATCACCCACATTATAATCACTTGGAGGTACTTGTTTAAAAAAGGCATCTCAGGCCTGCAGAGTCAATCTGATTTCTGAGCTCACTCCAGAATGGCTCCACTTCGAATGGTCACTTGGATTCCGCGCCTGGGAATGGTGTCTCTCCCGCCCGCTTGCCCGCGGGCTCCTACCTCCAGCCGCGCGTTCACTTGGTCTCTCCACGCCGGCATCCTCCTAGCTCGGCTCCCCCTAGCTCGGCTCCCCCCACGGCCCAGTGAATCTC